ACATACTCTCTCACACACACACCCTTACACAAACACCTTCTCACACACACACGCTCAGATACACACATAACACTGATTTAACAGAGAGGAGGTGCTTACCCTGCCTTTGGAAATGGGAAGGGCCCCCTTAAACCCAGAACCTCAACCTGTTTCACCACCTGTTCCTGGAGACAGACACGGAAATACCCCCATCCCCTTGGCCTGTCCAGGGAGAAGAAAAGCCCGACTTGCCCCTGCTCCCCAGGCCCTCCTGGCCCTGAGGGGAAGTCGACAGGATGACAACCCAGGACACCCTGACCTTCATGCCCAGGCCGGGCTTGAGTGAAGGCGGAGGGGCGGAGGGGAAGCAGTCCCTCTGTCGGAGGACCCGGGGTGGGCCGGCTGCTGCTAAGCCTCTAGGTGGCACCCAGGCCTGAGCGGGGCGGGAGGGAACGTGGCCTGGGTGAGAGGCCAGAATTTGGGACAGGGAGGTGGTACCTCTCCCAGGGCAGGGCCCAGACACTCGGAGACAGGGCAGTGTGACCAAGCTCCTCCCGGCTACCTGGCAGGAGGCCCGGGGCAGTAGCCAGTGGGCTGACACCCCCAGGGCTGTAGCACTGCCTTCCTGGGCTAGCTCCACTCTACCGGGCTCTGTGACCGGGGCCAGGCCCTTCCCGCCGGGCCGCACCTCCCCAGGCACGGACAGCCTGGGCAGGGCTCTCACCGCGCACAGGGAGAGGAGGACAAGTGGGAAAGGGGTCGAGGGGGGAGCATCCCAGCAGAGGGGTTTGGTTCACAGGCCTAGCTGGGCACCCAGGGGGCCGTCCAACAGTCCCAGCCGGACAGCAGGGCTGAGGCGCCCTCTCCTACCCACGCAGCACCTGGCCCAGGAGTGCCTTTCTCCCCAGACACCCACCTGCAGGGGTGGGGTGGAGGGGCCCTGACGCCCTGAGAGCTAACCCTGCACTCCCAGTTTTAAGGCCACAACAAGCCAGCCACACGCGGCCCCAGAGGGGAGATGCTGGGTCCAGCCAGCCTGTTCTCCCCTGGGCTGCGTCTTCATGGGCCACCTACCAACACACAGATGCCGACATCCACAGGCACACAAACATACACAACACAGGGATACTGACACAGGGGGGCTGACACACACGCAAACACACGCCTATAAGTTACCCAGAGACACACAAAGGCACTCATTCCTTGCAGACCTCCTGGCACAACACTAATGCACAGAGACTGGCTCCCCCTGGGCACTCACAGGACACCCAGATCCCCACATCTCCTCATCCCCAGCAGACCAGCTGCACACACACACACACCTCACCCCTGCACGCGACGACCAGGGACCTCAGTGTCTCACTGAGGCACACTGGAGGCCTGGGCCAGCGGCCTCAAGTCAGGGCTGCCCGGGCCATGCCATCTCCCTCAGCAGTGCTCCCTATCACTGCCCTGCCTTGCACTCTCTGTCCATGTCACCAGGTCCCCTCTCCAGACCAGAAACCCAGGGCCGCGTGTGTGCAGTTCAGTTCAGCTGATGTATGTCAAGCACCTTTTCTGCACCGGACGCTATGAATATGGAGGGGAACATAGGACAGTCCCCCTCGTGGACAGCCAGGGCAGGGACAGGTGTGCCCAAAGGCCGTCTGAGGGAAATAGGCCTGGGGCCAGGGGGCATGAGAGGCAGCACTGGCAGGTAGAAGGCCAGGGCTCCCAGTCTTAGGTCCCCCTGAGGAGCGTCCCAGCGTTTCCGATGCCAGCCCACGTGCCAGTCAGTGAAACCAGGACCTCGGGGTGGACTCGGCACTGCTTCCTCCCAGACTCTGCTGGCTCGGACCTGCCGCCAGGCCCGGGAGGCTCTGTTGGTATATTCCGTCCACTGGGCAACTCCCGCTGAGGGTTTCCAGGGCAGGCCCACCGTGCCGGCCAGAGGTTGGGATGGGGTGGGGCGGGGTTGGAAGGCTCCGAGGAGGAGCTCACAGTCTAGTTGGGACCATAGACCCTGCGCAGATGGGACCGTTAAGGAACAATACCCGCAGGCATGATGGCGTGTTCTGGGGACCTGGAGCCACTCGTTTCGGACAGAGGCCTTGGCGGGCCAGGAAGGCAGCCAGACTGGTTGGTATCAGGAGACCCCGCTCTGGCCCTGGCCCAGCGCCCACCGGCTGTTGGTGATGATGGTATTGGGCCTTGCAGAGCAGTGAGACGGGCAGCGTTTGCCTTGGTTCCCGCCTGCCCCTGGCGTCGCTGCCTCTTCCCTGCAGCTGCCCCCACCAATACTCCAGGAGAAGCCCCTCCGCAGGTGCTTGCATGCCAACAGGGTCATCTGTAAGCTCCTTGCCGTTCAGAGGGTGAAAGGTAGACATTCAGGCGATGGCAGGAAGCGCAAGACGACAGAATAGGGCTAGAGCGGTCCACGTGGCTAGCACCCCATAAGTGGTCCTGTCACTCCTGAAGGTGGGCATGCACGGGGACGCACACAGGCCCTCACGGGGGTGAGGTGCAGACCCAGCCTCACACACAGACACGTCTTACTGCACACGCAGACTCATACTTGCACACACTCGTGCCCAGAGATGTACCCACACACACACAGACACACGGACCCACACACATGCGCACACATGCACACCCAGAGACACATGGCCACATGCACACATGCGTGAAGACTCATCCTGGAAGGGGCCTCAGGAGTGATGCTGAGGAAAGGTCTAGATCCCGTCATGCCCAACTCGGGCTCCGACCCAGGGCCCAAGGACCGGAGCCCTTTACTAGCTGGGGCATGAGCTCAGTGCCCAGGGAACAGCGTGACCAGCAACTGCCCCCGCCCCAGCCTACAAGGCCCGCCTCCTTCACCGGCCCTGGCTGGGACAGGAACAGCCCACAGGACGCCCTACACACCCTCCCGTCCAGGGCAACCCTCGTGCCACGTACATAAGAAAGGCAGGCTCCACTCCACTGCCAAGATCAGTGTCCGACATGGGGACGCAAAGTCGTGAAGCAGGCCTTCTCTGCCCCTTTCAGAGCCAAGCCTCACCCCAGTCGGGCCTGGCCACCACTCCCCTGGCCTCGGAGATGCGGCTGGGGTGAGGGTAGGCCAGCCTGCCGGGTGGGGACTGAGCACTCAGGAATCCAGATGCTTCAGGGCAGGGGTGGAGGTAGTGGAGGGGGGGTCAATCTTCAGACTGCCAGGCCCAAGCACCCCATGCTGGGTCCCTTCAAATGGGGCACTGGAGGGAGGGGGGATACGACATCCCAGGAATCAGGTCAGGGGATCTGGGGGACCTGGGGTCTCCACCTTCTGGCCCTTGCCCGGGGAACAGAGTTGCAAGCAGCAGGGTCTCACCTTCCTTGTCCTCTGCACTGGGCATTCACAGAGCTCACAAAGTGCCCCTGCCCCCTATCCCCTTTAACTGACCTCAGCCTTCCCCCTCCCAGGGAGTCCCAGAGTCCGAGCAAGGCAGGGCTCCTGTGCCGGCTCCCTTCCTGGTAAAGCCATGGGTTGGAGCTCAGCCTGAAGTTAGAGACGGGGCGAGGGCAGACACACCGCAGGTGCAGCCAGGACAAGGCTGCGTGGCACCGAGGTCCCTGGGGTGGCAGACACCGTTCAGTGCGTCCCCGTCTCTGCGGTAAAGAAGGTGCCGGCTGGCAGGTCGGATAGAAACTTGTGCTTTAATATATCTCTGTGTGAGTGTGGGCGTGAGTGTGCGCGTCTGCAGGGCCTCCGCGGGCCGCTGTCCTTGTTCTCTGCTCATCCTCGCAGCCGACGGAGGCCCCTCCCTGTGGGCCGCCCCTGCCCCGGGCACCCCGGCTGGCAGAGGTCAGTCTTTGGTACGATGCAGACACTTTGGTGTGCCAGGGGCGGGGTGGGGGGCCGCGCAGCTCTCATCATCTCTGCAGCGCCAAGAGGAAGATGGCCGCGGGCCCCCAGAGCTGTGGGCGGGGCCGGTGGGGCACTCCACTGCCCGGCATCACCACCACTGTGACAGGAGAGAGGGAGACAGCCAGGCGCAGGTCAGTCTGGAGGGCCAGGGAGCCGCAGGCAGGCGGGTGGCTGTGGGAGGGCCCGTTACTTTCCCCTTCTCTGTGGGGACCTGAAGCAGACATTGCCCTCATGCACACAGACACACATCAGCACGGTCTTGAGGTGTGTGGTGTGAAAGTTAACTCAGCCTGCTGGGGGTCCGGGTCCTGGCTGTGTGGCTAAGACATGGACGTTCACTGGACCTCAGTGGGCCTCAGTTTTCTCATCTGTAAAATGAGTCTAATAGTAAGAGCCACCCCAGAGGACTGCTTTGAGGATTGAATGAGCTCATGCATGTACAGGTTTTTGTATCTTGCCTGGTACATAGTGATTGCTCAGTAAACCTGAGCTGTTATGATTGCAAACATCTGGCCCCCGGGGGGAGCACATGCTCACATCTGGACCCACGGACACAGATACATGAAGATAGCACAGGAGGCACTGCGGTACGAAGACAGCCAAGCACTCACAGGAGGGCAGGGTCTGGTCTAACTGTCCCATACACCCCACAGCCTGATCCCGGCTGGAGCCTGCGTGTGCACCTCGACACTGACGCACACAGCTGTCACCCAGCCTCTCCTCCCCGTGACACAGGTGCCCACCCCCAAAGCCTCCCCCAGACTCATCCCCCTTTCAATCATCACCTTTATTGGGATCTATCTGCTTCCGGGGACACTCTCCCTTCTTCAGTGTGACATCGTCTATGGCGATATCTCCCAGGTAGCCAGAGCCTCGAACCCCCTCAAAAATAATCTGGGTGGGGTCAGAGAGCAGGGAGCAGAGTTTAGGGAGGTTCTGCAAGACAGACTGCCCCCCCTCCCCCATCCCCACACCCTGCAGGTTTCCGCATCAGCTCTCAGGACTCCCAGGAACAACACGGGCCTTCCGAAGTGATTCCCACCCAGAGCACCCACCCAGGGGCTGGGAGTGCCTGTGAGGGGCTTGGGCCGGCAGACTCACCTGGAAGGGCCCACTGGGGTTGATGGGCACGTGGGCCTGCTGCCACACGTTGCCCTTATTGCCACTGAGGGACCACGCATGTGTGTCCAGGGCTCCTTTGTTCCGAGACCGGACCAAGAGGTTGAGGGAGCCTGCGGTGGGCGTGAAGAGAGGGGGCCAGTGAGGTCTGGACAAGGGCACCCTCCGCCCCCACCACTGCCCGCAGCACGGCCCCTGTCGGACGGGCCTTTCTCCCGTCACAGACTGGTTCGGTGTCCCGGTGTCCCGTTCTCCCAGCCGGGGTGGCAGGGCTAACAGGGAGGAGTGCCGTTCATCAGGGCAACCTGCAAATTTTCTTTCATTTCTCCCCTTCCTTCCCGATCAGCTACGCCCCCCCCCCCCCCCCAACACACACACACACACACACCTCCGCCCTTTCGACAGGGAACTGGTCCCAGGATGATGGGCCATGTCTGCGCTCACAGCAGGATTCCAAAACACACAACGCACACCCATGATACGTGGGATGATTTCTGGAGGTACAGCAACCAACTACAATTTTAATACTTTTATATGTTTTAAGAGGTGAATAAAGCTAGCCCTTTGAATCCACGATTTCTCTAATAGTAATCGTGCTAAGAAAAAGGGAATGAGTTGATCCAAAGAGACTAATAGTTATGCCACACAGCTGCGGTGAAGAGTGAACGTAAAGTTTTGGAGGCACAATCTGTGGATACTGAGTCCATCTGCCCACAGCCACAGGCCTGGAGTTCTGGAGGCGCTGGGGGACAGGGGAGGGCCATGGATTAGCTAAGAACACCCAGGCCATGTGGCGCCCCTTCCCGGCTCTCCCAGCCTACCCTGAGCTCCCAGTGACATAAAAGACCGGCTCAGAGGGAAGAGGAATGGACGCAGGCGGTGCAGGGTGGCTGGCATAGCTGCCCACAGACAAAGCCACACCATCTGTGACACCAGACAGACAGACCCCCCTATGGGGGAGAGCCACCAAATGTTACCTGCTGAGATGAAAGGACTTGGCTTGGACCAAAAAGAGCCCTGGAAACACAAGGTCTGGGGACAGCTGGTGCCTAGAGCTGCCAGGTAGGGTGGCGGGGAGGGCAGAGGAGGGACCAGGGTGCGGGGGAGGGCAGAGGAGGGACCAGGACAGCAAGAAACGCCCCTTTCCCCAGCAGCAGATCCAGGCCTGGGCAGGGGACCCTTGCCAGCAGATGGGGCCACGAGAGGGCTGCCACCAGCACCCAGTGGCCAGGGGGTGCCACACTGACTCCAGCAGGCTCAAGCCCCAGTGCCTTCAGGGCTCCCCACCAGCCCCGAAGGGATCTCTTTCTCTCCCCGTTCCTGGAGATCTCCCCATTCCTACCCCACTTGGGGTCCAGCCTCATTCATACCTTTTCTTCCTCCTGCACAACCCTGTCCCAAGGACACTGATAGGGGAACCCCACTTTTCACTGTTCAAACGAAAATGGAATTTCTGCCCCCCTCCCTGAGCCCCCCATCAGCTGCAGCCCCCAGACCCCACCAGCTCTCCGCGCAGGGGCGTGGCAGCATCGGGAGTCCCATCTTCTCTTTCCTGTGACTCCTTGAGGGAAAGTCTGCATCCAATTGCTATTGGTTCTCAAGAATTTAATGTGAGAATTTTTTCACAACTGTCATCAGGAGTGAAAGAGGGCGTCCATGGGGTCTCAGGATTCCAAGTTACCTCGGGGCTTATCATTCATTCAACTAATCGAGCACCACGATGTTCCAGGCACTATTCTAGGCACCAGAGATATGTCGGTAAGACAAGGACCCTGCCGGGCGCGCTCTCTTGGTGACAAGCACTGGACAGAAAATAATTCAGGGGCTGCCAGGGACCTCTCTGAGGAAGCCTGCATGAGGGGACAGGAAGAAGGTTCCAGGCCAGAGGGACATCATAAGCAAAGGCTTCTAAGGCAGGAGGAACCTGCCTTGAATATTTAAAGAAATGCAAGGAGACCCATGTGCTCAGCCCACATGGTCGCCAGAGGAAGAGCAGGAGAAAATGAGGCCAGAGAAGCAGGCAGGGTCCAGTCAGGTATGGGAGGCCTGGGGAAGATGGAGGGGAGGGGACAGAGCCGGGAGTCGCACGGGATGGACAGGGGTCCCCTCCACAGCACTCCCGCGGACAGTCTTCCTGTCCAGGGACAGGACAGACCCCTCTTGCTGGGCACATCTGACGCTCACAGGCTCCTTTCAGCTAGAATCAAATCTGCCCCCAGAGGCTTCCCCTGACAGCTCGTTCCATGCCCTGGGGAACACAGACAAGTTCTGGAGCCCACACACCTGACATCCCAGCTCCCAAGGCCTGGTTTCCCCGGGGCCCCACTGCACCCAGCATGCTCCTCCTCTTGGCAGCTGGGTCCCAGGCCCCTCCTGATTTGGCGATAAAATGACCAACTCTCTGAGTTTGCCTGGGATGTGGGATTTCACTATAAAACTGGGAAAGACTTGGGCAAAGCAGAGTTGGTTTCATTGGTTACTCGAGCTGGGAAGCAAATGGAAACAGATTGCCCCCGCACCTACCCCAGAGCCAGCCAGGGGCAAACTGGTTTGTGTGGATGGTCTGGGGCCCAGGGTACGAGGACCCTCCACCCCATCCCATTCCAGTTCACCCATTCAGCCTGACCCATTACGCAGGCTGTGCAGACTCCTCCATGGTGAGCCTTTAGGTCTACACTTGCTTAAAGTCTCTCCTCTACTGGGCAGCCTGCCCCCGCACCTACCCCAGAGCCAGCCAGGGGCAAACTGGTTTGTGTGGATGGTCTGGGGCCCAGGGTACGAGGACCCTCCACCCCATCCCATTCCAGTTCACCCATTCAGCCTGACCCATTACGCAGGCTGTGCAGACTCCTCCATGGTGAGCCTTTAGGTCTACACTTGCTTAAAGTCTCTCCTCTACTGGGCAGCCTTGGAGAACAACTAAGTGTTCTGTGGCCTGGCGAGGCATGGCCACTGCAACGCACAGTTCAGAGGGAAAACAAGGCTCAGACAGTGTAAAATTGGGGGTTAGGGGACGGGGGTAGATGTGTACTGCTTCTATATGCATAAAGTATCCCTAGGAATTTCCCCAAAAATCTAGGACAATGATTGCCTTTGGGGTGGGCTACAGGGGGCAGGAGGACTGGGATGCAAGGACCCTCATATGCACCTTGTGTGCCTTTTGACCCATAGAGAATATGTCACCTCTCCCAGAAGTAAGGAAACAAGCAAACACATGAAATTCTTTAAGTTGTCAATTCCTCAGTCTTCTATAACCAGGCCCCAGTCGGCCCCCAGTACCAGCGGCCTTGGCCCCTGTCCTTCTGCTGCGGACACGTGCCACAGTGGCCACTAAATCGCATCTGGCGCAGTTAGCTGCTCAGTGTCTGTCTCTCTGACCTGACTGTGGTGCCGAGAGAACGGGGAGCGTATCCTTGCGGTCACTGCGGCTCCCGGGGCCGGCACAGAGCCGCGCTCTGCGGCCAAGGCTGCGCAGACGAGCTCGGCGGTTCATGTGCCGCTCCTGCCGGTGCCACCTCTCCCCAAGGGACTCTCAGGTCACACCCCCATCAGGACTTCCTCTCACGGCTCACAAAGCAGCACCCTCCCAGCTCTGTGTTTGGGGTCTGAGGGAGTCAGGCAGGTTTGGGCTGCTGTGCAGATGCTTAACCTCGCAGGCACCTCCCTCCCCGGGTGGTTGTGAGGGACGATGAGACCACAGATGCAGAGCACCCGGGATGCCACGTGGCACCTGGCAGACACTCGGTACAAGCGACCTCTTAGCTGTTTCCTCCATCCCCTCGTGACCCCACCTCATCCTGCTGGAGCCATTTCCCCCCAGACTCTGGCAGCCTGAGCATCTCAAAACCCCACACGAGCTGGCTCTGGACCCCCATTTGCGCAGATTCTGCCCACCACCCTCCAAGGATCTGGGATTCATCCACGTTGGGAAAGCCAGGCCCCATGTGGCAGTTCCTAGCCTCCTGGGGACCCCCTCTCCGCCCCCAGCCCCAACACGCAGGGGCAGACTCCTGGTCTCCTGACTCACCGATGTGCTTCCCGTACATGTGGTAGAAGAAGGAGACGCAGTAGAACTTGGCGCTGGCGTTGTACAGGGGACTCACCAACCGCGCCCGGTCCCCCAGCTCCCGGGGCCTCGAAGTCTCAATGAACATGTAGTAGCCTGTCGGGGAGGGGAGATGCCAACACCCTCCTCTTCACCCCACCCAGATCTCTCGCCTCCCGATTCCTTCTCTGCCGTGGTCTCAGCTACGGACACCAGGGGCCTTGCCCAGCCCACCTGCCCTCCCAGCTCAGCACAGGGTCTAGGCCAGCCTGCACGAGTCCTTAGCCTTGCTGAGGCTCTTCTTCCTGATCCTCTGTGTGGACAGGCTGTGTCTCCCTCAGACGGGGGCCCCCTCAGGACAGGGCTGTGTCCCCACTCAGATGGGGGCTCCCTCAGGACAGAGCTGGGTCCCCCCTCAGACTGGGGCTCCCTGAGGACAGGGCCATGTCCCCCTCAGACTGGGGCTCCCTGAGGGCAGGGCTGTGTCTCCCCCATTAGACTGGGCTCCCAGAGGCCAGACCCCCTGATGCAGTCCTCATTCCTAGCAATAGGCCATGTCCTCACCCTCAGGGGTGCCGCTGACGTCAGTGGGGGGACCGGTATTGGGAGAGCGCTTGGGGTTCTGGGTTAGGGCGTTCTGCCGAGTCCAGTCAAAGTTGTCTGTCAGGTCCTGGGTGTAGCCACAGATCTTCTCATCCTCGAAGTGGCAGGTGTTGTCTGCACGGGGCGGGGAGTGGGGGCGAGACACAGAGGGTCGGCCTCCGGGGGTCCTCTGGTCCAGCTCTGCCTCCCTGCCACCCCCGGGCAGCTCCCCAGCAGTGGACCCAGGATCCCGAGGCTTGAGAACCCAGGCAACAGGGCCCCTGGCTAACTGTGCCCAGATCAGGACTCCTTCACCTGTTGTGCCACCACAGACCTCCTGGCAGCTACTGCAGTCCAAGGACCCCATCTCGGAGTAATACTTTTAAATGCACAAAGTGAAATACAAAGGGTTGCACAGGAAATCAGTTATACTGCGAGTTGTCACATGTTTCTAAACAAACTTGTGTTACAATAAGTGGGCTTCTTCATTGTCTAATTAAATCAGGAGATCTGGTGTTAGGTCTAGTAGTTACCTAGACCTACTAGTTTTGAAAGGCTACTGGATGTAACTGGTATGGAGAGAGGGCTGCAACTTGAGGTGATTGATGTGCAAACCTCAGACTTCTGGGGACAGTCCCAGGTAGCACCCACACTACTGTGCTTGGCTGCCTACATTCCCCATCGAAGGAGACGTTACATTTCCGCTAGAAGTTGGGGAAAATAAAGGAGTGTGTTCCCGTCCAGGCTCCGGATCCACAGACCCCCCTAAATTCTGTACACAGATCCTTGGGGGGGTCCATGGATCTCAGGTGAAGGATACCTGCTCCAGAGAACAGGGGACACGGGTGAGCCTGGACTTTCTTTTGGGGACAGTGAGGAGGAAGGTCCTGAGTTAGAGGTGTTCCCCAGCCCCACCCCTGTCCCTCTCCTTTAAGGCCCAGAGTAAACCCTGGATGCAAACATGTCCAAGCCCAGCCCTGCTCCCTTCTGCTCCTCCTTCCAGCCGCTGGCCTCCATCCTGTGTTCTCTCCGAGTATTTCTTCGGGTCCCTTCCTCCCACCAGGGGTGCTTTTGTGTCCCTAAGAAGGAAAAGTGGGTGGGAGTGTCTCACCTGACAGACTGGGAGAGTTGATAGCTGAGAAAGCAAGCAAGATAGCCAAGTCAGAACCGAGAGGGGCTGTGCAGAAGGGCCCTAGCTTCGGACCAGGGGCAGGGTCCCTGGGGCCAGGACTGGGAGCCAGAGGGGCCTGGCCTCAGTGACAGAGCAGGATACAGCACAGTGGTGGGACCCACGCTCAGGGACCATGTGGGAAGCGGGGAAAGGATCCCCTGGACACCAGATGGACCCGCCCTTCCCACTCCCACCACCACCACCTACGCTCTGTGTAGTGGATGATGCGGGAGGCCATGTCACCGGCCCCATAGGTGGTGTAGGGCGTGAGGCGGACCTCGTAGCTGTGGGGCACGCGGAGGTCAGTCAGCAGGTACTCCAGCAGCTGCCCCTTCTCCACACGCCGCACGGGGATGGCCTTCACCATGGCGCTGTGCTGGTTCAACTGCAGGTACAGGGAGTTCCCATGCTAGGCAGGCCGTGTCCGCCACCAGAGCACCAGCCCAGGCCCTGGTGTGACTTTGGGGGTCAGGGTCAAGGAGTAGAAAGAGCAAAGGACTAGGAAGCTAGGCCCTCAGATCCCTCATCTGGGGAACGGAGCACTCACCCCTCAAGCCCACCTCCCAGGGCCGGCTTAATAACAAATAATAGCAACACATATTGAACACTTTAATGTGTGTGAGGCACTAAATACCTTACCTAATCCTCAAAATGATCCTATGAGGTAGAATATTGTAATTTTACCTTAAGCTTCTGATGTAAGAATAAAGTCTGAGTTTCATGAGCAGACCTGGCTCTGCCCCCTCCCCCTCCATGGACCCCTGCCCAGGTCTCAGGGCTGTGCCCAGAGTGGGGGTCAGTCCCCAGCACCTCCAGCTCTGCTGCTGTGTCCAGAACACTTCCTCCCTGGCACTGAAGACTTGTCTGTAAGGAGGGTCAGTGTGGCCCAGCCCCATCTCCACCCCCTCTCCCGGGCTCCATGAGCACCTCAGGGTTAGCTGACCCGGGGGGGCCCCCAACCCCTTGGCCCACCTGGCGGACACTGAGCCTGTAGTTGAGCACGGGGTCGACGGCGTCAGGTTCCCTCTGGGTCCACTGCAGCACGTAGGAGTAGTTCTTGGACAGCTTGTGGCTGCGGGTGGGGTTGGGGGTGTCGAAGTAAAACTCCGGGCTGTAGGCTTTGGCTAAGAGGGCGGGGAGGGGGGCATGGGGCCATGGAGGGTGGGGAATGGGGAGAGACAAAGAGAGGAGGCATGGGAGGGGGAGACAGGACAGGGTGGGACAGAGAGATGAGATGGGGAGAGAAAGAGAATATTGTGAGGAGACGAGATGAGGGGAAAGGGGTTTGGGGACGATGAGGGTGGGTCGGAGGGAAGGTGGGAGATGGAGAAAAGGGAGATTGAATTTTCCAAGAGTTGGTGAGAATGCAGTGGCAAGGCCAAGGTAAAGACAGAGCAGCGATTAGAGAAGGCACAGGGAAGAGGATTGCAGGGAAAGATGGGAAGAGAAGGGCCAAGGCATGGAGGTAGAAGGAAGAGAAGACACAGGAGAGAGACAGGCAAAACGGTGGGGAGACAGGGAAAGTGTGGGAGAACAGGGGAGAGGGGAGGAGGTGGGAAATGTCACAGGGGCCTCTGGCTGGGGGGCTGGGGAGCTGGGGAGGTGGCCAGTAGCCTGCGGTGTCAGCCCCCTGTCATTGCATGAGGGGATCCAAACAAGAGCTACAGGGGCACCCAGCCAGTCTGGGATGCTGGGAGAGCTGGGAGTGCGGTGGGAGGGGGAACAGGCATCCTGGGGTTTGCTGCACGGCTCCCAGCTCTGACAGGGAACCAGTTCTCCCCAGCGGAGGAGAGAGACAGGGTGGGCAACCATGCCAGGCCCTTTGGGTTCCCCTTGCCCCTCACCAAGACCTCCACCCCTCTCTGACCCTCCCACTCCCGTCTGCACCCCGGTCAGCCCACCCGGGAATGGAGATGAGGAGGTGGGGCTGAGAGGGATGTCTGGGCTCCCAGGGGCCAGGATCGCTGGGGTGGTCGCTCAGGAAGGGTGAGCGGGCTGCCTCCACCACCCACGAGGTTCTAGGGACACCGTGAGGGGAGGCTTCTCCCCCTTAGCTACAGCTTAGGCCCCTCACTTTGGGCCTGCAGGAGGAGGTTCCCCCCCCCACCCAACCTCCCTCTGTGGGACCAAGGACGAAGAAGGGGGGCTTGAACCCTGACGCCTGCGCTGTGCAGGGGGGGAGGAGGAGGCCGAGGGCGGCGGGGCCAGAGCCTAATGGATGGGTCTAAACCTGGGGTGGGCGGGGCTGGACGCACCTTCGGACACAACTGGAAAGGGGAGCAGAGACTGGACAAGGTTGGAAGGGGTGGGATCTATGTCCCATGTAGGCGGAGGGGTCGGGAC